GAGGGTTACCTATCTTGATTTAGCAAGGTCTTTGGTACTGTTTCCTGTAGTATTCTTAAAATCAAATTGATGAGGTGTGGACTAGTTAAGTGGAAAACTAGCTAGACTACCTAGAAAGATCATGAGTACCAAGTCCAACTGGCAGCCAACTACTAACAGTGTCCCTCAGGCATCAATACTGGGGCTAATACTGTACAACATCTTTAATGACTGGGGCCATGGCAGAGAGTGCACTCTCAGCAGTTTTATGGATTATACCAGATTGAGAGGAGCGGTTTACATGTTGAAAGTCAGGGCTGCTGTTCAGAGGCACCTTAGTGGGCTGAAGAAATGGCTGATAGGAACCTCCTGAACTTCAGGAGAAGCAAACATGATGTATCTGGGGTGGAATTGTCCCATGCAGCAGTACTGACTGGCTGGAAGGCAGCTCTGCTGAAAAGTACTTCAGGATCCTGGAGGACCACAGCTGTATCTGAGTCAGCAGTATGTCCTTGCAGCAAGGAAGGCCAACCATATATTGGGCTTTCTAAGCAAAAGAGAAGCCAGCAGTTCAGGAGAAGTCATTCTTTCACTCTGCTCAGTACTTGTGAGATGGACTGGCTCCAGTATGTCAGTGTCTTTCACTGTTACAGCAGTCAAGTATTGGAACAGGTTGCCCAGACATCTTGTGGATTCTACCCTTGCAAATATTCAAAACTTGACTGAACAAGACACTGAACATCCTCATCCTATAAGACCTGCTTTGAGCAGAGATTTGGACCACATCAGAAGTCCCTTCCAAACTGTGTGATCTTATGGCTCTGTAATGCTGTTATTTCTGACATCCAGTAATCTTCAGCACTGTACTTAAGTACCTAAACTGCCTGCAGGGCTGCATGATTCATGCCACGTCAGGGTTGTCAGTGCCATGCTGCATATTGTGCTGGGAGAAGGTCCAGTAATGACTGGGTAGAACAAAAGAGTTAAACTGAATAGTAGTTTTGCTTACAGAAACTGAATGGTATTTTTGTTTTCAGATGTTACATTTGCAAGAAAAGTGAGCAACAGCTGGCAGAACAGCACAAGGAACGTGGATTAAAACATGAAGGTAATTTGTCATAACAAGTAAGATGATGGAGTGTTATACAAAACATTATTTCTCAGAATGTATCAATTCAAGTTTTGTGTTGTTGGGTTTTTTTTAAACACGAGTTACTAGATAATCCATTGTTTCTTTAAGTTTAAGGAAAATACAAGTAAATATGTGAAAAATATGTAAGGTGTCTCCTCCACCCAAACCTCAGAAAATTCTGATAAAATTATACTAATTACTTGTATATTTCATAGAATTGTAGAATGGTTGTGGTTGGAAGGAACCTTAAAGATCATCTAGTTCCAACCCGCCCGCCATGGGCAGAGACATCTGTCGCTAGATCAGGTTGCTCAAAGCCTCTTCCAAACTGGCCTTGTACAGCTCCAGGAATGGGGCAGCCACAACTTCTCTGGACAACAAGTTCCAGTGCCTCACCACTCTCATTGTAAAAAATTTCTTCCTTAGATCTAATCGAAATCTGCCCTCTTTCAGTTTAAAGCCATTGCCCCTTGCCTTATCGCTACATGCCCTTGGGAAAAGTCCCTCTCCAGCTTTCTTGTAGGCCCCCTTTAGGTACTGGAAGGCTGCTAGAAGGTCTCCCAGGAGGCTTCTCTTCTCCAGGCTGAGCAACCCCAACCCTCTCAGCCTGTCTTCAGAGGAGAGGTGCTCCAGCCCTCGGATCATCTTCATATCCCTCCTCTGGACCCACTCCACCAGCTCCATGTCCTTCTTGTGTTGGGGACCCCAGAGCTGAACACAGTATTCCAGGTGGGGTCTTATGAGAGCAGAGTAGAGGGGCAGAATCACTCCCTCGACCTGCTGGCCACGCTTTTTGGATGCAGCCCACGACACAGTTGGCTTTCTAGGCTGCCAGCGCACATTGCCGGCTCATGTTAAGCTTCTCATCAACCAGCACTCCCAAGTCCTTCTCCTCAGGGCTGCCCTCAATCCATTCTCCTCCCAGCCTGTACTTTTGCTTGGGATTGCCCTGACCCACATGCAGGACTTTGCACTTGGCCGTGCTGAACTTCATGAGGTTCTCACAGGCCCACCTCTCCAGCCTGTCAAGGTCCCTCTGGATGGCATCCCTTCCCTCCAGCATGTCAACCACACCACACAGCTTGGTGTCATCAGCAAACTTGCTGAAGCTGCACTCAATCCCACTGTCCATGTCTCCAACAAAGATGTTAAACAGCACCAGCCCCAATACTGACCTCTGAGGAACGCCACTCGCCACTGGTCTCCACTTGTACATCGAGCCATGGACTGCAACTCTGAGTGCAACCATCCAGCCAGTTCCTTATCCATCGAGTGGTCCATCTGTCAAATTCATGTCTCTCCAACTTAGTGACAAGGATGTCATGCAGGACAGTGTCAAATGCTTTGGACAAGTCCAGGTAGATGACATCAGTTGCTCTTCCGTTATCCGCCAATGCTGTAACCCCATCATATAAGGCCACCAAATTTGTCAGGCACGATTTCAATGTGTTGAGTTTCCTTTCTTTAAGAAAGATATATGCTGTGAGCTCGGACTCTGTGTTCTTTTTGTGAAAAGGACTTAGCTGATAAACTGTGAGGTAGTATAGAAGGAAGCACTTCATTAATATAACTTTTGGAATAGATAGGATGAAAAATTTGTGTATGTTAGCACAGAAGTTACCCTGTGTAAAGCTGTTTATTAAATAAATATGAGGCAGTGAACTTGGACAACTAATAACCAATCTAGTGGACTTAAATATTTCTGTACAATACCCCACCAATACTCAGTATAAATGAGATTTCTCTATTTGTGCTATCCATATTCTCTTTTTCCCCCTCATTCCAACCCCTTCACACACTTCCATGGCTTTTTTTACAGGCATAACATTTCCTTCCTTTTGTTAAAACAACTGTCAATATACTGGATTCTGTGCAGTCATCCTCCTAGCTGTATCTCTCGATGTCTGACTGCTACATCCTAATGGGAAGCACCGATATTGATGGACTCATGGCCTTGCTGGAGTAAGATACACAGATTCCGTTGGACAAGTTTCTTCTCTGGTCTCTGTTCATTGTCTTGGATAAACCTCTCTTAAACAGCAGGCAACCTTCCCATGAGTGCTTGTTTCTGCTTTTACTCTTTTTTATTTATTTTTTATTTTTCTTGTAAACCCCAGTGCATAAAACCATAATTTTCTTGACATAAACCTTGGTCCTTTTGACCTAGATTATCTTATAATTACAGTTATTTTGCACAGTATCTGTGCCAGGTTCTAGCTGTTTGTTAGCAGAAAGTATCATCATACTGTAGAAATTCATTGGTAGCATAAAGACTGTGTATAGATTTCTATGCCAACTCGAACTCCTGTTATACCGGCTTTCATCCTAGCTACTGCTTTCAAATCTTTGATGTAGTCAACAGATGACCACATTGGCATGTTTCTTGAGTTTTGTTAGGTGATGCCCAGATTCAGCTAAAGAAATAGCTGTACATAATATATTCTTAGGAGCTAAGTCTGATAGCAGGTTTTTTGGAAAGAAAAAAATCTGCTGATTTGAGAAATAACTGTAGGTAGAAATTGCCAACCTTTTATCTTTTGTTTGTGGGATTTTTTTGTTTTGTTGCGTTTGGGATTTTGCTATTTGTTTTTTTATTAAATCTGCCATTTTATTAGTTTTGATCCAGCAAAGGCAGAAGGAAGCTACACGTTAGTGAGCAATCAAGAGTGCTTTAGCCAGCATTGCACAAGACATTAAGCATCTGATTATGTAGGATGTTGTTTACTTAAGTCCATTTTACTTCCGGTAGCTGGCTTTCTTTGCAGTCTGGTCTCTTCTCCATGCAGTACTGGTAAGCAAACAATAACAATCGTCTGCTTTTGATTTGCAATAAAAAGGGTTTTAAATCACCATCTCGGATAAGCTTTTTACTCAGCAGAGTGTATTGGCGGGCTCCTTCGTTGTGCCTGCTTGGTTTGTGTACAGTTCAGGTGGGGTCAGAGGGACGTGTGCGTTGACTGGCACTGGACGTATTTCTCTGTGGTACGCAGAAGAAGTCTGTGCACGTGCTGGGTAAACTTTGAGCGCTAGCACTTTGTGCTGGTTTCAGCAACTTCCAGTGTCCGTATGCACGACAGGCAGTTGGAATGAGCGCCGTTTGTACTCTCCCTGCTTATGATCGCTCTATGGTACGGCAGATACTTTGGGTGGATAATGCGCGGTATTACAGTGACGCACCCTGCAGAATGGCTATGAAAACAGTTGGTCATTTAAAATGCGGTAAAAATCCTGACTTTGTTCTTACTTGAACAGCAGGGCTTTTTTTGAGTAACATGCTGAAATTTATACTGAACAGCACTTTTCCATCAGGCAAAAACAATCCATTACAGTAATACATTCTACCTTAAGTAATTTGAGACTTATTTATTACAGCGAGCATATTTCAAAAGTTAATGCATATCGAGATGCACTGCAGACCAAATTATTAGTGCTTCTCAGGTAAACAGCAAAAGGATCTATCAGTAAAGAGGAGGGTTTTCATTTTGTTGTTTGTATATCAGCAAATGCCTGCTTGTTTTGTAAATAAGCACTTGTGTAGTTCTGGACGTAAATGTTTCCAGTTCCAGTAGTTTGTTCTGTTCAGGCACCTTCATCTCGGAGCAGGGCCTCATCATTTGCCTGCAGCCTGAGCAAAGTCATTCTCTAGTTTGATGTTTGTCTTTCTCATCTCTCTTAAAATACACATTTTTAGTCGGATTTAAATTCTTTCTTTCTGTAATGTCCTGTTTGAAAGCCACATAAAATATCAGCAGCAAAGCAAGCATGGTTGATGCTAAAACCGCTCTGGCAAATGATGTGAAAATGTTGAATTTAAGAGCTGTGTTTTTTTCTCATTATTACTGATTTGTTTATCAGGACATAGAGAGGATAGTCTAGATGGAAAAAGAATGAAGTTTTTAGTTTCATTGAAGTATTTTTTCACATTATAATCCTATTATACTTTTCCTGGAATTCTGTTTTTCTTGGTTCTGTTACTAAAGAATGGGTAGTAAGAAGTTCCAATAAACAAAAATTCAAGGAAGTAAGAAAAGTTCAAAAAGCAAAGAACAGTTACAGAATTTTTGTCTTCTTTTCTGATGTATGAAGCTTGGAAGAGATCAATTCAAAATAAGTGCATAGAATTTAGGTCCAAAATTACCTAAACAATTGTAAGATTCTCTAAACATGAAGTTCCTGAAACTGAGACAGTAAAGAATATCAGAATTTCAGGACATGAAGTATATAGCATAAATGTCATCTATAGTCTCATCAAAGAAGCACCTTGAACTTAACTAGAAGTTAATCCAAATGTGGGGAACTGGATAATGCTAGATTTCTGAGTCACTATCAGTTAATATGCCTCAAAAGCTCTACTTTGCTGTTGTTTGATAATCAAACATTTTTTAACAAACTTATATAAACAAACCTTATAGTTCTTTGTTCATTCCTTAATTTTACCCCTATCATCAACAATGGCACTTCATTCCTGAACTCCAGTCTTAGAACCACGTATATCTCCATAGACTATTCTGCAATCACTGCTTCTGTGGAGTTCCCTTGAAATACCTGAGTCTACTTGTATTAAGAGGAGAAAACGAGTGTTATGACTGCTTATGGCATTTTTTTTATTGTAGTGAGGAAGGTGATTATGTGTAGTCTAAAAATGCAAAGGCATTTTTTATCTACTTTTGTCCATATTCAAGAAAATACAGTTTAGATGACAATTCTATACAGTGCCGGAGAGTGTTTCTTTGTTCTAGAAAATTCCCTGCTTCTTGGGAGTATTGATGCCATCACACATTTAAGCTCAGTCTAGGTTTGATGTCTAACAAATAGTTTCACATTGTTGAAAACAGACTTTTGTATTATTTCCCAGAAATCTCTGAAGATTTTCACACAGGACAGTCTAACTCTGTTAATAGTATTCCTCTTCAGGCATTTGAGGGTGGGTTGGGGTGGAAACAGAGTGCTGATCTGCTGTCTGCTGGTCTTTGCTGAACCTCAAGTCTTCTCTTCTGTTTTTGTCTTTTTTTAAAATACAATTCGTGGGATTGAGGAAGATGAGAAATATTGATTTAGAAACCAAATACTACACCACTGTCTTTGTATCATTGTTTATGTAAGATTAACATTTTGAAGAGCAAGAATAGAAGTTTTTAAAAGTTAAAAATCCCTCCGAACTTTCATACTGCAAGAGTTGGAACATGCCTCTGTCTTGTCCTTGCCTAAGGCTTTGTGGGTTTACCCAAATAGCACTGATCCTGAATTTGACATGCATATGTCAGAAATGGTGAGCAGTTTTAGTAGATAATCACGGTCTGTGAAGGGAGAAAGCAACTTTCTCAGTTAGTATATGAAAAATATTACTTTTTAAAATGCGGTTTATTTTAGATATGTATTCACAGTGTATGAATATGCCCAGTAAAAACTTGTCAGTTGCCAAGAATGATTGCGCTTTTAGTGTTCTTGTGAGTAGATCCAGTAATAACCCATCTCCATGCGTTTATTGATGTGTTTCAGAAGATGAAGAAGAATGGAAGGTTATTAAAGGGAAATTTCTAGCCATTAATGCAGTAAATATGAGCTGTGCCTGTCCACGAAGTCCAAAAGGTCTTTCACCAGCAGCTCATTTGGCAGATGGTTCAGCTGACCTCATTCTAGTTCGTAAATGCTCCAGATTTGATTTTCTACGGTATCTTGTCAGACATACGAACCAAGATGATCAGGTACGTGTTACTTTGACAACGAATTCTCCAGAGTTAGCCCACGTTGTAAATATCAATATTCTCATATGACAAAAAAGCGTATCTACAAAGAAGGGTGTTTTTTTTGAAAAAAAGAAGAAAGTTTATACATTTTGAGTGATATAATCTCAGCATGTGTACCATTTAAAAAAAATAAAAGATCATTTTAGCTAAGTCAGGTCTTCGGCCATGGCATTCTAACAAAATTCCACTTCTGCTAAGTGAATTCTATTTCATAACATTTTCTGCATATTTGCTGTTTGTACAATGTTTAAAGTGATTTTATCACAGCTGTGACCCCATGTATTTGTCATGAAACTGCTCTCAGTAACTGGGGTAGATGATGTAGTAAATAAATCACTTTTTCTAAACTGTATTAAAATGTGGTTTAGAAGAAAGTTACCAGAACTGCAGTTTGATTGTAAACTGCAGGTTTTTAGCAGGATTTTACTACATATATGTGACCAGGGTATGAGCTTTATGCATTCAGCTTCAAAATTACTCCTTGCCTATCTTGTAGCTGTCAGGATAAATTGCAAGGGAAGATTCATCCCTCTTTTGGACTGTAGTATCTGTTGAAACCAGAGCTACAGTGTGAATACACACACTTAATACTTGTCACGACCTGGTATTACTAACATGTTCTGGAAGTTGCCTGAACAATGGGCTAATGTCATACCTAGTTATAAAAGCAATAATAAATCTTACTGGTTTATGAAGCTGTTCTTCCTCCTCTATAGAAGAATTCATATAGATTCTCTTTCCTGTATTTCCTCATTACCATTCCCTGGGACACTGTGTGCATGTGTCTGTATTCCTCCTTCCTGCTATTCTTAGTCTCCTCTTCTTCCCTTCTCTCCTTCCCACTCACTCTTACTGTTCCCTTGATATTTTTGATTATTTGAACTCTTCCCTGCCTATCTTTCAAATTGGCTTCAACATTCCTCAAGAGACTATGTTCTGCTTAGACTTGAGACATGAGAGCATTCACGGGTGGCCCTGTGAAGCCGTGGGTACCAGTCTTTGCAACTAAGCAGTGTGGACTAGCACACTGCTTAGGGAGCCTCATTGTATCCGTGAGCCACTGCTTCCAAGTGTGGAGTTTGACAGCTTCAGTTTGTTTATGGTTAAAAGCTGAGGGAACTTCAGACCTAGGAGGTCTTCAACTCTGATGCTTTTTGTGATTGCCTCTGTGGTCATTCCCCTTCCAGTGCTTCCCCCCTGTTTCTCTCTGGGATATGTTGGTTTTGCGGTGTAGATTAAATGTGGGGTTGTACATATGTCCTCGTCCCAGGTCAGAGCGTACCATAATAGTGAGAAACCCTGTTGAAAACTGAAGAAAATGTGAAAAGAAAAAGATCACTCTACGTCAATACAGACTGTTTGAGTAAACCATTTCTTTATTGGCTTTTGCTTCCTTGCCACTCCCCTGCCATAGATGCACACAGACATTCTCCATTGCCTTTGCTAAATGACATGTCTGTTATTTATTACAACTTGCTCAATGTTTAAGTCCGTATCAGTTAAGCTGCTTTCAGGGCAGGTGGGAGCACCCTCCAATTTTTTACAAATTCATTTACAAATTCATTTCATTTACAAAGCCTATTTTAAAGCATTTGTGCTATGTTGTAGTATAAATCTGTAAGCTCTGTTATAAGAGCAATCTCTTAATTATCCTACTTTTTTCTAGCTAAATTAACTAATTAAAATTATTTTTATTTTGTTGGAATGTAATAATATTGCCCTCTATTCTTATTTTCACATACATCCAGCTCTGTGATTTGATGACTCTGCTGGGGGATTCTCACCTTCAGGGCATTCTTCCAAATGCAGAAGCAGAAGGCTTTCAGAAAAGCTCATGTGTCTTAATGACTGTAGTTGAACAGGTCCTGAGAATGGTACAAAGATCCAATCCAAACCTTTTTGACTTTGATTCCATGTTAAAATATTTTTGATGGGTTTTTAATAGTTTTTATACCCCGTTTATTCGGAATCTCAGAGATTGTTACCTGATTGTCTGTAAAGTGCCAGCACTGCAGCTACTTGAAGGGGACCAAGTAAGGTTCCGTTTTTGCTTTATTGTTCCTGACTTGTGCAGTTTTTTTAAAACTGAAGATCACTCTATGCCTCAGGTAAGGTTCTTTAGAAAATTGGAGTGAACAGACTTTCTAGAATACGAAATGCTGCATGCTGAGTTACTTTATACATCAAATGTATTTAACTAATTGCCTGGTTTGATTTATTTTTTTGTTTGTAGTTTGACTTCTCATTTGTAGATGTTTATCGGGTGAAGAGTTTTCAATTTACATCAAAGATTTCAGAAGACAACGAAAGTAACGTCACGGACATAGGAAAGAAACGTTTTGGCCAGTTCTGCAGAGATCATCCAGCCTGTTGCTGTAATATTGCTAATAGCACCTGGAATTGTGATGGAGAAACTCTGGACAGTTCAGCAATTGAAGTGAGGTAAGCATCGATATTTCTCTCCATGTGCCAGAAAACATACTAAGCTTTTCCACTGATTGTAAAGGTGCTTATAAAGACATCCCAAAAAAGAGCTTCTGCGTAGCAAATTTCGGTCTTCTGATAATAAACTTTTTTTTTGGTTACTTTTTTTGAGTCCTTTCCAGAGAATACTCCAACCATGTATGTTGTAAATGAAGCACTGAGACAGGTGGATGGCCCTACCTTTGAAGTTCTACTTACTTCTTAGGTACTGATATTACATGGTGGAAGTCCTGAAACTGAAGGTGGTGTTGGGAGGATTTGTTTTTTAAATGAGTGGAGTACCTCATTACTCTGAGCAATAGCTTTTCCTGTTAAATTTAGGCTTAAGTATCTTTGTCTTACAGAAATACTGAGTGTGTCCCATAGTTTGTGGGTTTTGACACACAGCAGTCTTATCTCCAGCCTTGGCATATGAAGAAAGAAGTTTGCAGTTGCACAAATAATCAAATTAGAAGGGAGTAGAGGCTTGTGAAATTTCAAGTTGGTTTTGGTTTTTTTTTGTCGTTCAGGGTTTTTTTTGGTTGATTGGGGTTTTTTTGTTGTTTCTAGAACAAAGGGAACTAAAAACACCATACAAAATATTTACATGCAAGTGTTTTCCATTAAATCATAATCACTCAGCAGTCCAAAGTGATTTTTATAAATATTGTATAAGATCAGCTCATCTAAGTGCTCTATAGAACTTCTTGTGTGGAAAAGAGGAATAACAGAAGTGATGGATACACAAAAGCATCCAGGATTCTTTGCAGGGGAGGATTGTACCAAGAATAAGAGAGCAGTTTCTGTAGTCTGGAGCAAGGAAATTTGTCCAACTGCTTGAAATTCATGGATTATTAGAATTAAATGTGTAGTACTCATTTCTTATTAGTGATTTCCATGTTTTTCAGGGTTCACTGCCAGTTAATGAAACTGTTTGCAAGGGGAATCGAGGAAAACTGTAAAGAAGCTGCCTACAGCCAGAGTAACATTGAACAATTACTATAGACTTTGTTCCTCCAATGGGGAGAAGGAAAAAATAAAACCTCAAGGATATTGAGTAAATATGCATTTTAGTCAAATTGACAAGTATTTTAAAATTTTAGGTGTTTTTTTTTTCCCGATGGCTTCAGTATAGTTTTAGATGTCTTATTGCATTGTGTCATTTTTTTTAAAAAACATTGTAGTCATTAAAATGCATCTTGGAGCAATGTAATCTAAGTTGTGTTGGAAAAGAGAGGAGTGACATATATATGTGTTCACAATGACTGATAAATTCTCTGTGCTTTTTCTAGAAAGCTAGTTTAGCAGTTGTGTTGCAATAATACCTGAATGTTAGAAGACATTGGACTTTTCGTTATCATCAAACCGAGATATCAAGACAAGATATTTTCAGTGTCCAAGGAGATGTTTTCTGCTGGGAGTGTTATGTAGTTGCATGTGGCTTAAATGCTGAACAACAGCATTGTCATTCTCGTCTTTTTTTTTTTTTAGTAAAATCTTTCATTTTTTAATTCTGACTATACCTTGCAACTTATCAATGCAATTCAAACACACATTCCTGGCTTTAAGTAATAACAATAAGAGTTTAGAAATACTTTGAAAAATAAAAGCACTTCTGTGTACAGATCATACCTTATCCTATATATTCTGTTTGTAAAGGCTTCTTTGCATGATGCTTTTTGGGATTATAAAGGGTTTTGTGACTGTTTGGATGATACCAAATACCACACACAGCAACTGAAATGTCTGCAAGCAACTCGCAGGGATACTTACAATACCAGGAAGGTACAGGCAAAGCAAAACCTAAATATCTTCTGGAACACCAGCAAGTTTTAAGTTTTTTAAAATATCTGAAATTAATGTGTGAAAAGCTTCCCTCTTCGGTACGCAATTCTTTGGAGATTCTACTGTGCATATGTTAAAATGTCTTTGCAAAATAAGATGTTGGAATGTTAAGTTTTAAAATATGATTTGATGATTCAAAATTTTTTAAAATATTATTTATTTAACTAAATATGAAACAAAATCATTTGTTTTGTGAAATCAAGGGAAGAAACTGGCATCTGATAAATCATGAATTCACTGTGCTGATTTGTTTTTATAGCAAAAAAACAGACTATCACATATAGCTATGGAGTGATTATTTAAGTTGTGTATGGATTTGTGCATTGTTACACACACTTTCTGTGTGCAGGCTTGGGGCTAAATTTTGCTTTTCTCGTACGTATTTATTCCTGTTTGAGGATCAGAAGTCAGCTCCTGCTCTCCTCTATCTGTTCTTAATGTGTAGTTCTCTTTAAAACTCATTGCATCTGTGTTCTTTCTGTGTCTGAACAGCTAATGATTATTGATGTATATTTATTGGCACTTCTGTCATTCAACTTGTGTTAGTTTTACGTCTCCCATGTATTTGCTCTGTGTAAGCCATGGTGATTGGTCAGTTTGTTACTGAAGCACTTGAAAATTGTTACAAATGGCTGATTTTTTGTTTAATTGAGATTATGTACATTCCAGTTTTGCGTAATATCAAAATGGTGTGCTACATCTTTGCTACAAAGTATTATTCATACTGCTCTATGTGACAAAAAAACACTTGCAAATGATATTTGCTTGAAGAACAGTCATAGAAAGTTTAGCATCTGTTTTTCATTATATGGTATTTCAGGGATACACTGTTCCAAAAGTACTGCTGTTTACTTTCCTTATTAATGCAATGAGTTGAAATGTTGATTGATCCAATGTTTCTCAGACATTTGTAACATAAATGTTATGTATACTATATTTTTAAAGCCATTTTTAAGAATTGAAATAGTACTTTTGACATAAGAACCTCATTGAAAAGGAGATTGTGCAGTTCTACAAATGCAAATATTTTTTAAAAGTGTTGTTCCTTTAAAAAGTTCTACAATTGTTTTTTGGTCTATCCATGAATATTGTGAGAGAACCCAGACTACAAGTTACTGTAATTCTTGTGCAGGATATGATGGTGCACACCCAGCTCACCAACAGATGAGGGCATTTACGAGGCGTTACAGCTATCCAGATCACATTCTCATAAATGAGAACAGGAGTGAATACTAACCAGCTCTTTTCATTAATTCACTAGCGAGTCATCAGACCTTTACTTGAAAAATGGAGGCTTAATCTGATTGTAAATGTATATTGAAAGGCTTTGAATATTTGTAATATCTGAAATGGACTGCTTGATGTTTCCAAAGAAAGCCATGGTGAAGGCTCCCTTTCTGAGAAACAAGTCACCAGAAAAGGAGAAAAGATCGTTCTGTAGCATGGTAATGAAGTGTGAAGTAAATAATTAAAGGTGTTGCAACATAATAAAATGAAAAGCTCTTAGGTAATAGAAAAGCTGCATAGTTGCATTTGAATAATTCTATTTGTAGCATATTATGCTAGCAAAGCACCATATGTGAGTTGTACGACATGTCCAGTTTATTTTTAGGAAGAGAGCTGCGTAAGTAATGTCTGCTTACATTGTAATTCTAGTTTTGTTTTTTTTTCTCTGAATGTAGTCTCAGTATGGAAATTATGTATTGGAAAACCAAGTTCAATTTTTCTTTTTTTCCCAATCTTGCTGGCTTCAAGATTAGAAAATGTGTTCTGTTTTATGATGCTCGGGAATTTCATTGAAAAAATAAAATTACATTATACAGCAATACAGTGGATTTCTTCTTTTCACAGCTTGATTTGAAAAAAAAAAAAAAGCTCCTTTTGTTTGGCAGAAATCTGGCAGTAATGTGCGCAGCATAACCAATGTGGGCAGATTAAACCAGGTGGAGAAGTAATTCATAAGCTTCTGTTTGAGTTGGCCACAGCTTTGTAGCAAGCGTGAGCATGGACAAACTCTGAGAGTGAAGGAAAGCCACTAGTGAAGCTGGACTTACACCGAAACTAAGTAACTCTACAAGGTAAACTGAAGATTGAAGGGGGTAGAAGAAACTTAGTTGTAACGCAGATATTCAGAGTTATTTATTATGGAGAAATCTGAATACAAAAAGTGAAAGAAAACTACCGTTCTATTTAGCATGAAATATGTATTATACTATAAATAGTATATAGTAAATAGGGTTTTTTAGGATTTCTTTGCAATAGTTCTTACAGATGCAGTACGTATTCTAATAAGTAAAACATGTTGGTTGTAGATGAACAGTGGGCACAGGAAGAGAACGTTCTTTTCAGCACCGTAGAGAATTCTGCTTTTGAAGTGTATTGGGTTTACGTGGCAAGGTTTTGGTAGCCGGGGGAGCTGCATGGGTGGCTTCCATGAGAAGACACCAGAAGCTGCCTTTTGTGTCAGACAGACTTGGTTCCAGCTGGCTCCAGGATGGACCTGCTACTGGCCAAAGCTGAGCTGATCAGTGACGTTGGTAGCACTTCTGTGACAGCATGTTTAAGAAAGGGTAAAAACCAGTGCACAACAGCTGTGAGAGAAGTGAGGGGAAAATAAACAAATAGCCCTGCAGACACCAAGGTCAGTGAAGGAGGGGGAGGAGGGGCTCCAAGCACTGGAGCAGAGATTCCCTTGCTGCTTGTGGAGGACCCTATGCTGGAGCAGGTGGATGTGCCCTGAAGGAAGCTGCAGGCCCTGGAGAGCCCATGCTGGAGCAAGTTTCCTGGCAGGACTTGTAGATGCGAGGAGGAGCACATGCATGAGCAGGTTTTCTGGCAGGAACTGTGGCCCGTCAGGGACCCAAGTGGGAGAAGTTCATGAAGGAGAAAAGAGTGGGAGAGATGAAGTGTTACAAACTGATCACAACCCCCATTTCACATCCCCCTGTGCTGCTCAAGGTGAGGAGAGGAGGTAGAAGAGTCAGGAGTGAAGTTGGGCCTGGGAAGAAAGCAAGGAGGGGAGAAGGGGGTTTTAGTTTTGGTTTTTTATTTCTTACTCTGTTACTAATTGGCAATAAATTAAATTAATCTTCCCCAAATAGAGTCTGTTTTGCCCCTGACTGCAATTGCCGAGTGATCTCCCTGTCCTTGTCTTGACCCATGAGATTTCCATTGCATTTTTTTTTCCCCCCTGTCCTGCTATGGAGGCAGAGGGACAGAGCAGCTGGTGGGCACCTGACTGCCAGCCAAGGTCAACGCACCACGTGCAGTTACACAGCAAAGCAGTGTTTGCAGGGGTGTCCTATGGCATGAGAGATGGTATGGTATGTAGAATCAGAAATTTCTCTGAACACCTCTGTCTTGCAGGTGTCCTTGCCCACGGTGGAGGGGTCGGAACTAGATGATTGTATGATTCTGTTATTTCCTTGGAACTCCTGCCTTAATCCCTATGAAGTAAATGAGTAATAGGAATTAATAATTATTATTCTCATTAGTCACGTTGCTCTTATTTCAAATTTTCAGCAGGCTATTGAAGTACATGTAATAGTTTCTAACTGGTGTTTAAGTTGCAGCAAATGAATTCTGTCCATAATGAAGCAACAGGCTCCCCAGACTTCTGTCTTGCCCACTGACGCGCACGTGATGTACATCTTGCAAAGGCTTATGCATGTTCTTAATTAATGTGTGACTTGTCCCATTAATTAAAAGGGGGTGGGGTATTCATTTTGCAATCAGTCATGCCTTTCAAATCCTCTGCAACGAGAGGATTAACTTTTTTTTTTTAATTCCATCTCCTACTGTTTAGAAAGGATTCTTAATATGTACCTACCAAAATTACCAACAAGAGGTTGTCTTCAAAAGGTGTCGCTCCTTTAAGACTCTTACATGTCTGAAAGGGTGACTTGCTCTTGGTAGCTATTTCACCTGAAGTGCAGTTTTGTACCTTATTCCATAAGAATCTTCCAGCAATAAAAAAAATGAATATTTTTTTCTCTCTTTTTTTTTTTTTGCACGTAGAGAAGATTTTGATAATGGAGAATAGGAAAAAATAGAAGTAGAAAAATAATTATTCATAAAAATACTGAAATTTTAGCAGAAATGATGCAAATTAAAAAATCCATGGAGACCAAATTCTGGAAAGGATGGAAGAGAACAACTGCAAAACAAATTTTAAAAATAAGAAAAACAAATAGGAAAACAAAATACAGATTTATTATTATTATTATTATTATTTATATTACTGGAAAGCATTGCCCAGGCATGTGTATTTTAACTGCACAGTAAAGCTAGCACTAAAGGTTTGAATAGATTGCTGGAAGTTTGACTGCTTACAACTGATAGACAAAATAAAAACTTTATCACTGTTTCTAAAAAAAAAGTTGGGTCGTACTCTGTATCTCTGCCCACAAACTTTACCAAAATAGCAGTGTCACTAGAAGAGGTGTTAAAGGAGATTTGTAAAAGCGGCTTCCTGTAGCAGTCTGCAGCATTCTGAAATGGCTGTTCGATTTACTCTGCCAAATATTCTTCATGTTAATATTTAGCAACTGTATTTTAGGAAAGGAGACATTGGGCAGCAAGAAGAACTTGAATGCTGCTGAGGTTAAGGCGGTGGAGCAGCAGCTCACCAGCTAAGGGTCTGCCCCATAGACCTTGTAACGTCGGGGAAAGGTCCCCCCCGAAAATGATTGCATGCAGAAATATCTGTACCATTCCTGGGAGGTGTTTGTGTAACCTATTCTTCTGAGCTTTCAGTGATGTATATGCTACATATACATACAAATATGTATATATTGGTTGATGAGAAGCTCAGCATGAGCCGGCAATGTGTGCGTGCAGCCCAGAAAGCCAACCGTGTCCTGGGCTGCATCCAAAGAAGTGAGGTCAGCAGGACCAGGGAGGTGATTCTGCCTCTCTGCTCTGCTCTCATGAGACCTCACTTGGAGTACTGTGTTCAGCTCTGGGGTCCCCAAAAGGAGGAAGATATGGAGCTGTTGGAGCAGGTCAAGAGGAAGGCCACAAAGATGATCCAAGGGCTGGAGCACCTCTCCTGTGAACACAGGCTGAGAGGGTTGGGGTTTTTCAGCCTGGAGAAGAGAAGGCTCCGGGGTGATTTTATAGCAGCCTTCCAGTACCTAAAGGAGGCCTAAAAGATAGCTGGAGAGGGACTTTTTCCAAGGGCATGTAGTGATAGGACAAGGGGCAATGGCTTTAAGCTGAAAGAGGGGATATTTCAATTAGATCTAAGGAAGAAATTTTTCCCTCTGAGGGTGATGAGGCACTGGACCAGGTTGCCCAGAGAAGTTGTGGATGCCCTATCCCTAGAAGTGTTCAAGGCCAGGCTGGATGAGGCTTTGAGCAACCTGGTGTAGTGGAGGGTGTCCCTGCTCATGGCAGGGGGCTTGGAACTAGATGATCTTTAAGGTTCCTTTCAACCCGATTTCTATATTGCAAAGCATTTTAGCCATCAGAACAGATCGCTTAAAGACTTTCATAGTTGGAAAACTTTGGTTACTCACTTAACCAAATCTCCCGTGCTGTGTTTAAGCATGCTTGCTCTGTCCTCAATGGGCATGAAGAACTGTTCCCTCCCTTCAGAGAAATTCCCTACCTGAGCTGTTGTGTTCCCTCTCAGTCTCCTGTGTTCTGCCTAACCTCTATTAATATTCAGACAGAGAAGGCAAGAAATATGTTATCTGAGCACATACTGATATCTAGAAAAACTGCTTGAAGCTGATTTCTGTTTACCACCAAAGAAGGGACTCTATAGAAAGAGAGCCAGTATTGACAGGGATGCTCCGAAAAAGGAATGAATATCTGCATAAAGTCTTCAATCAAATCAGATCCTGTTAGTTCCTAGACATCATGTTTTCACAGAATACTGTCTGAAGCTCTGTTGGATGCGTTTAGAGTAGGTATCTCCCCTCAGCAATACCTATCAGATAAATGACTATTTTGAGGGTTACACTGCTGATGTGTGATGCCCAAGAAGAATCAATCCAATAAAATAAGTAGCTCTCAGGTGGTTGGAGCCTCCCATTTCCATCTGGTCTCATAATGCTGAGATATTCTATGGAAAACCTGTAAAATCTGAACAGATGTTGCTGTGGTTGCAATTTCCTAACAAAGGCTTTCAAAAAATCTTCAACACATTGGTAGCAGGATCAGGAAAGAGTAAACACAGGTATATTCTCTCACCAGAACAGCAGATTGTGGTGTTTGTTCTCCTCTGTGCACAGGCAAAGCTTTGAGCTAACAGAAGAATTTGTGTTTTTTCCTGCATAAAAGAATTAAAGGACTCAGTGGAGGAAGGTGAGATGGGGAGGAAGCACAGTCCTGCTGCCATCTGTGCTCAGAGGAGCCCATCCTGAGTCTGTCACAGTGAGAACAGCAGGCAGTGACACTTCCTCTGGATGGACTAGTGCAGGAGGGGGATGAGGTGAGCAGGAACCAAAACATCTGAGGTTGTGCAGACCCAGCAGTCCAAACTCATCCTTCCAGCCCACGAAACATTGCACTGCAGCTGTGTAAATTGCTCAGGTTTTGGGACTGAAGGCCACTGCTGTCTGCTCTGCCTTCATTCGTGGGAGGAAATTTCACTGGTCTGGGATAAATCTGTCCTGTAACACTGCTGCGAAAAAGCACAGCAGGAATTTATTAGCAAAGGAGACTGAGCTCAGATTTTTCATTGGAGCTAAAAGAGGAAAAAGGAGGGAAGGAAAGGGTTGTTGATTTACCCTTACTGAAAGAACCTGAGACAACATATCTTACATTACACGTACAAGGGGAGTGGGAGACTGCTGTTACTTGTACTCATTTCTACTGGGGTTTCTGATTTCTACCTTCCAACAAAGGCTACTGAGATAGCAGAGCCCCTCCTTCTGCTCGGCATTGGGT